ACAGGCCACAGAGCCACACCTCAGTGTTTCTATATTGCATACCACTGCTACCCCCAAGTGAGGCTTGACTGGTGAAAGGGGAGGTAACGGCAGCAACACGTGTGGGTATAGCTGCAGGTGGGGGTGGGTGCAACTGCAGCTGTGGGTGCATCTGCAGATATGGGTGTAGCTATAGGTGTGGGTGCATCTGCAGGTGTGGGTGCATCTGCATGTGTGGGTGCATCTGCATGTGTGGGTGCAGCTGCAGGTGTGGGTACATCTGCAGGTGTGGTGCATCTGCAGGTGTGAGTACATCTGCATGTGTGCATGCAACTGCAAGTGTGGGTACAACTGCAGGTGTGGGTACATCTGCAGGTGTGGTGCATCTGCAGGCGTGAGTACATCTGCATGTGTGCATGCAACTGCAGGTGTGGGTACATCTGCAGATGAGGGTTCACCTGCAGGTGTGGGTGCATCTGCAGATGTGGATGTACTTGCAGGTGTGGGTGCAGCTACAGGTGTGGGTGCACCTAGATGTGGGCTTGTGTTTGGTGGTGGATGTCTGGAAGGTAGGTACTGGCCACAAGGGAGGCAGTGAGTCACTTAAACCAGTCAGAGATTGGAAAAGGGTCCAGGGCTGTCGTCCTGCCCTGAGACTCAGCAGGGCATTATCTCAGCCTGTGAGTTCTCTCTTAGACATATTTTTCTCTTCGAAAAATTCTCATCAGGGTTCCTCAAAGATGATTCAGGTATTAAAACATTTTCCCAAAAATGACTGTACTTCATCCACTGAAAATTATTTTGGGGTCCAACCTGCTGAAAGCTCAGAAAGCTATTACTGTAAAGACAGGCAGCAGGCTCGGACATCAAAGAAGGGGGATAGGAATACAGCACAAATTGTAATGATTTTTATACAGGAAAATTACAAGAAGGTTCACTTGATCTTGGAGATTCTAGAGACCACAGTGTTCAAGAGTTAAGCCTCAACAGAAAGAAACTGAAAAGATAAAAACCTGGAAAGAGGCTAGCTGTCCTTCATTGGTTTGCATTGGAAGAGAAGACTCAACACACTCTCAAAACTCATTATTGAATGTTATTGAATTGATTCTCAGAACTGTGTGTGTGCTCCCCCCCAACCCAGGGAATAATTTTAATTTTATTTTTAACTAATGCACAAAGCCAAAATTGTACTTACTACAAGGAATCATGGGATCATGTTTAAATACACAGATACATCCATGTAGTTCCTCAAGTACTCACTTATCCTGGTTTCTTCTTATTAATTTATTATCATTATTATTATTATTATTATTATTATTATTATTTCTCCTCTCCCTCCTCCTCCTCTTCCTCCTCTTTTTTCCTCTTTTTGATGAAAACATCCCACATCCTTTCTTCTATTCCTGGAAGTACACGATTTCTGTGATCACCGGGCTTACTGCCTCCTAGCACCCAAGGCTTCTTACCCTTATCTCTCCCTGCACTTTAGTTTCTGTGCTAGACTCTCAGCCTCTTGTCAAGCATCCTTTGTCTCTCAATTTCTATGAAGCCAAGACTTCTGTATCCTATACATGAGTGATACCATACAGCACTTGTCTTCTCATATGCTGTTTATTTTATTTAACTTGACCTCCAGTCCATCCATGTTGTCATAAATGACAAAGGTTCCTTCTTTTATGCTTATATAGTATTCCATTGTGTATACATACCACATCTTATTTGTGGTTGGACTCTTGTATTGGTTTTGTTTCTTGGCTACTGTGAATAGAGCCACAATAAATGTGGGTGTGGCAGTGACTCTTCAGCATTTTGACTTTGCTTCTTTTGAACACATAGTGAGAAGATTGCTGGACCAAACTCAGTTCTGCTTTTTTTTTTTTTTTTGAGAATCCCCTAGACTGTTCTTCACAACGGTTGCATTGATGTACACTTTCCCAAGACTGTTCAAGGGTTCCCTGTTATCTACTTCCTCACCACACCAGTTATCTTTTACCTTTCTGTTGACAACTATTCTTCCTCTTGTTTGTTGATATCACATTGTGCTGTTTTGATTTGCATCACTCCGGTGGCTGATAATGTTGGATATCTTTTCTTATACCAGTTGTCTATTTGTATGCTATCTTTTCGAGAAAGGATTTAGGCATTTGAGTTATTGTCTGTTTTTGGACCAAGTTATTATTACTTGCTGTTGTGTTTGGAGTTCCTTGTCTATTCTGAATGTTTATAACCCCCCCCCTTTCAGATACACAGCTCTCAAACGTTCTCTTCCGTTCAGTAGTTCATGACATCACTGTGCAGAAGCTTTTCAGTTAAAACACAATCCTGCTTGTCTTTCTTTGCTTTTGTTTTCTATGTTTTAAGTATCGTTTTTTTGGTTTTTTGGTTTTTGTTTTTTAGAAAGATGTGCTCTTGCCTGGAGGATTTTGTGTTTTCATCTATAGTTTCATTGTTCCGGGTCTTGGGTTTCAACCTTCAATCATTTTAAAGTCAACTTTTGACAGATGAGAGTCAAGCTTCCTTCTGCATGTAGGTGTGAGTTTTTCCCAGCACTGTTTATTGGAAACGTGGCCTTTTTTCTAATGTACCCTCTTAGATTCTTCGGGGAAGGTCAGCTGGCTGTAGGTACACAGGTGAGCTCAGCTCTCCATTCTGCTCCATTGGTTTATTTACCTGCCTTTATCCCAGTGACATGTTGTCTGGATGGCTGCAGCTTTTTACCGATATTATAGCCAACTGTGGATAAAATAAAAGTTCCCTCTCTCATCACAATGTGAGGCAAATGTCTACTCCATTTAACATCTTGGGTCATGGAAACCTCTGTAAGGACAGCCATGTTCCTGACAGACACCTCACAACACAGAAACCAGAGAAGTCAGGTGAATTCTTAAGATAGATGCGCGTGACCCCACCGTCTGGCTATGACTCTCATAGTGGACTGTCTCGGGGACCATGTGGCTGAGGAGGAGCTGCAGCCTCAGTGATGCTGTCTTGTGATGCTCGGGCTGTTAGAAGATGCTTCCGAATCTACAGCAAGATTTCAGGTGGACAAAAGGTCCCAAGTTAAGGAAGGGGATGGGTGCCCCTTTGCTGGCACTGTGAGGAGCACCCACATTTGCTGGTGGAAAGAAACTCCCCTCCAATGGTGGCGACTAAAGCTCTTTAAACCCACAGAGAACTCTTTTATAATTTTGAGCACATCTTAGAAACGGCTCAATAGAGAGGCCGGTGGCACTGGGTGCTGTTTAGGGAAATACAATAGATAACACCTCTTGAGAAGCCAGGGAGAGTGGGGAAGCTCAAACAGCTTCCCATCACTGGATCTCTCTGTCCCTGTCTCTCTGTCTCTGTCTCCCTCTGTCTTTCTGTCTCTGTCTTTCTCTGTCTCTGTCTTTCTGTTTCTGTCTGTCTCTCTTTCTGTTTCTGTCTTTGTCGCTGTCTCTCTGTCTTTCTGTTTCTGTCTTTTTCTGTGTCTCTCTGTCTCTGTCTCTCTCTCTCTGTCTCTCTGTCTCTCTCTCTTTCTGTGTGTGTGTGTGTGTGTGTTTGGGGGGGCATATCAGTGTTATCTGAGGGTACTTGCTCTCCCAGCTAGCCCTCTGGAGAATGGAGGCAGGGCAACAGTCTGGCTAGGGAGCCTACATGAGTCAATTCCAGACTGCTTTTGTCACTGGCTGGCCTTTGTCAGTGGCTGGCTGCTAACTTTACTTAACCAACCTCTTCCTCAAGCTACAGAGTACAGAGGCCAAATCTGTGCTAGATGGAGTCTCATTTCCTCCTGCACTTATCAAACTGCCTCACTAACTGATTGTTTCACACGATGTCTATGTACCATTACAGTGCAGAACTCCTTTGTTCCGAGGTCAGGCCAAACCACTGGCCCAACTAGCAGGCTCCTCCTCAGCCAAAAGCCAGGCCAGATTGGACCTTTCCTTTTATTAATCAACATATTAAGTTGCTATGGTAAACAGGAAGGGTCCCTAGGTCAGGCCAATTTCAACAACTTGTTCCCTCACATTGGAGACAATAATTTGGGGGATGGTGGGACCCACTGTTGTACCCACCCCACCCCGTACCCCCTTATTTCTCTTATACCAGAAATTTTATCTCTCCAGTCAATTGGCCCCAGTGAACGATTCTGAGACACCCTAGCCAGAACTGTACTACTCTGTATCACAGCTGTAGCCATATTTGATGCTAAGCCCCCATAGTGCTTATGGCAAGGGCATCTGGGAAAGTGAGTGTGCTGGTTAACCAGGATCTGGATCAGGAGAGACAGCTAGGAAAGCCTGCAGCCTTGTTCTTCGGCATCAAAACGGAGGGATGGATAGGGGTCTGCCCAACTGCAAGGAAGATATTGGTTTCTTAGGTTCTATGGGGGATGCTCAGGAAGGCCTTCACCACCGATGCTTACACTAGGAGCCCAGGCTATATGACAAAGAAGTCAAGCAAGGGCCCAGACTCTTCCAGCATCTGAAAATCAGGATTCCTTGGGTGGGAGATTTCTGGAATTTCCAGTGAAACACACCAAGCTTCCATCTGGAATAGTACAGAACTCCAGGCAACTCTTCATACACCTCTTCTTGGGGCCCTGGACCTCACTAGGAACCTATGCGAATGACAATTGCTCTCAATTTGGGCAAACAGGCCAATGCAGAGAATAGAGCTTCATAGCCTAATCTTAGGAGCTGGGATCTGAGAAAACTTTGAGTCTTCATTCTCAGAACCACTGCAGGCCACGAAGGACTCTGAACACAGAGGGGACTAAGTACCCTGGGAGAGTTCCAGGACTGTTTGTCTGGGTGTCCCAGGGCGGGGCTGAAAACTGAGGGCGGGGACACGGACTTCACTCCTCCAAGGTGACAAGGGAGGAGACTCACCACCTTGGATACTCTCACCCCTCCCCAATGGCATTTAAAGGACCCAGGTCAGGAGTGTGAAGGCATCCTCACTAGGTGAATGGAGCACCCATGAGCTTCAGCACGGAGCCACCTGCACCGCCGGCCCAGGCTGGAGGAGAGCTGGACATGGCTGGGTTTTGCGACGGCCTGGGCTCCTGCTCAGTTCCTCACGGCCTGACCCGGGCCGTCGCTCATCCCCCGAGCTACAGCCGAGCTGATCTGGGCTCTGGCCGGCGCCTGTGGGTGAACTCAGCCGCGCTCAGCCCAGCGCCCTACGCAACAGGTCCAGGACCCGCTTCATCCTATGCTGCAGCGGCCGTCGCCGTCCCAGGTTCGCTCCTCGGCGCTTCAGGTGGTCTGGCGGGCGCCGATCTCGCGTGGCTGAGCCTATCCGGACAGCAGGAGCTGCTGAGGCTGGTACGGCCGCCCTACTCCTACTCCGCGCTCATCGCCATGGCCATCCAAAGCGCGCCGCTGCGCAGGTTGACGCTCAGCCAGATCTACCAGTATGTGGCCGGCAACTTCCCCTTCTACAAGCGCAGCAAGGCGGGCTGGCAGAACTCCATCCGCCACAACCTGTCGCTCAATGATTGCTTCAAGAAGGTGCCCCGGGATGAGAACGACCCAGGTAAACGGCAGTACTTGCGCAGGGTCCATGGGGCGGCTGGGATGGAAGCGACCCTGGGGGAACCCACTTGTGAGAGAGCTCTGGTGGGGTGATATGGGAAGGAGAAACATTTTAGGCAAGGACAGTTTTCTAGATGGCTGCAGAGTTCTAAGGTCTTGGTTTCCAGACCTATGAACCCAGGGTTCTCTGCTCATCTGCTTGAGACCTACTTAGAAAGCTAGCCAACTGAGAGAGTGACCTTGGGAGTTTAAGGTCTCTGGGCCTCGATACACTTCCCTGTAAAACGAAAGAAACGGAGCCTACATTTTAAAAATCTGGGCAGGATTAAGAAGTGATGTGGAAAGCAAGCGTTGGACCCTACACAGAGGCCAGGTGTGGTTAGCTCAGCTCCACTGGCTGAGCCCAAATAATTCAAATTCTCTTGGGCAGTCTCTCCAGCCTCCAACTTGATGTTTGGATACCCTTAAGGGTCCACGGCTGGGTCTTTCTAGTGCAACCAAATCCTTTCAGTCTGACTGTGGAGACTCATTCCTGACACAGTGAACCCTCAAGGCTCGGGAGGAGGAGGGCTCAGGACCTTTGTAGGGACCAGTGCAGTCAATACAGGGTTTTCTGAACTAACGGCCTTCCTCTGCAGGAAAAGGCAATTATTGGACTCTGGACCCAAACTGCGAGAAGATGTTCGACAATGGGAACTTCCGAAGGAAGAGGAGAAGGAGAGGGGAGACTAGCGAGGCCGCTGTGACTGGAGTCAGCAGGCCAGAGGGAGCTGCACTGGAGCCCTGTGGCTCGGCTTCCCAGGACCCGCAGACCCCACCATCCCCGCCTGCACCCGAAGCCGCTTGCCTCTCCGGCTTCTCCACAGCCGTGGGAGCCCTGGCCGGCAGCTTTAGTGGCCTCTCTGATGGTCTGGCTCGTGACTTTTCTTTGCGAAGGCGACCAACTGCGGCTGCCCACAGTCCTCAGATTCCTAACACAGCCCCGGGCTTCGCTCTGGGCCATCAGACAGGGGCTACTGGCTTTAGGGTGGGGCACCTCGTCTACAGCCGGGATGGGACTGAAGTTTGAAGGAAGGCTGGAGACTGGCCATGTGCTGTGTTCTAACACTGAGCTCAGGTCCTGACTCAATCCCTCCTGGGAGCCCCATGGGTGCTGCATAGGAAATGGCGGAGCTCCTGTGTGGACTGGCTATGGCAGGTACAGCTTACTGTGTACCCATCAACCAAGGGAAGTAGATCCATCCCTAGGCTCTCTGACAGAGCGCCCAGAGAGCCTTCTTAAAGGGGTGATAGGTTCCTAAAGAAGCCTGGTCTCCAGAGGGGTGTCTTGCAGCTGGTGATAGGATGAGAGGAAGCTGGGCTGCAAGAGCATCCAGAGCGCCTTTCTGTGGTTGGCTCCCACCACGGGCCCACCTGTTTCAGGGCAGCTAGGGAGTGGGGTAGGGGTGCAACAACCCCAGAGATGAGGACAGGTGCCTGCCTTCCACCCTCATAAGACTGCACATTGAGGGGAGTACAGGACTCTTGTACTTAGGCGGCATAGAAAGAGGAACTTTCCAAATTTGGGAAGTTGGGAACTTAGAGAGAGATGCCTGGGGACACCAGCTCCCTCCCCGTCACTGTGTTCCTGACATTATTACTGCTCCTGTTACAGAACCTCACTGTTCCCAGACCACAGAGTTGTTGGCACCTAGGAATCCCTGAACAGCTTTGGGTTCACCTTACTTAACCGCTGCTCCCACCCTCCACCTCCGCCGCCAACATCATCGTCACCCCCCACACTCACTAAAGCTCACCTGAGGCAGGTGGGTGACCACACCTGTTTTTGGTCTCTCTCTACTCCTGCCTCCTCCCTTGCTGTGGCTGCTCTCAGGCAAGCAGAATCCTGAGAACTTCCTTGCGAATTTAACTCCCCAGTGTTTCCAGGCCCGTTTATATTCACAGTGACTGGCATGGAACTCAAAATCATTTGGACCTCTGTGCTTCCTGGAGTTCCTTGAGGTCCCAGCTAGCTGTCATGAGTCTTTGTGTCATCTGGCATTCTCTGGGGACATGAACACTGGCCATGGACACATAACCATCCCAAGACAAATAGGAGAAGTCTTTTCCCTGGAAGAGAGCAGAGAGCGAACTCTTAAGCCTGATCAGTCTTGCCCTTTAGTGAGTTCAGCCCCACTTGTACCAACATGACAGATTTGCCTTGGTTTATCTCAAATCTGCCTGCTTGGAGAGCCATGGTCCTCTGAACTCACAGTGTCCCAGATGGAGATGGAATGGGGAGCAGGAGCCCTGGCTCCGGGTTGCTGGGTGCTGTTCCTGCGTGGTATGCTGTGGAATCTCAGTGGCTGCCATGAGGAAGTGACCTGTGTGGTAGGTGGGTGGCCTTGGTGTTGCTTAACCAAGCTTACAGCCAACCCCCACTCTCTCTCCAAATATAATTCAATTTTTAAAATACAGGAAAATATAAATTATTTAAAATATAAGTAAAATGGGTTTTATATTTTGGGGTCTATTTTAATAGAATAACACACAAAAAAGGGGCATCCCACTTTACACTCTATCTTTGCAATAAATTTGGAAAGAACAAAATAACTAGCTACAGGAAGAAGAAGTACAGTGTGACTTGTGTCCGGGCTTCCACAAAATTGGATGCCGTCTGGGTGTCAGGGCTGTGTAGCAGCTACATCCTGGGAAGTTGTGTTTATTTTTTGCTTCTGATGCTGGATTTTCTATTAAAATTAATAAAGGAAAAAAATTGTTTTTATGTTTTGGTTTCCTAAAAGAAAGTTTTAGGTACTTAAAGATGGTTTGGGCGTTCAAAGCTATATAGCACTAATAAGTAATGGAATATCAAACAGATGAGCTCTCTATGAGAAAAACACAATTAAAAGTATTCCAGTATGTTGTGGTTGCAAATGAATGTAATTTTAGCACTTAAGAGTCAAAGACAGAAAATCAAGTTTCAAGACCAGCCTTAGCTACATAGTGAGTTTGAGGCAAGCCTGGGCTACATTAGATCCTGTCAAAAGAACACACACACACACACTAATGTAGGATATTTGGAAAGTGGTAGTATCAAAAGTCAAACAGAATCCACCCTTTCTCGAAGACAGTCCATATGACTGGGTGAATATTTGGAGGGGAGGCATTCACAGGTGCTGGTGCAGCCAATTCCAGCATCACAAAGGACTACTTTCCCAGACTCTGCTGAAAGCAAAACCAGAAACCAAACAAAGGAGACAGAGCGAGCTTAGTCTTCTCTCTAAAGGTGCACATTGAATGGACCAGGGTGTCATTGATAAGGCAAAGAGCATGTTGCTAAAGACCCCAGTGTGGTACTTATGCCCCAGTTTCTCCCCCTTTCCCTCTCTTTGTTGCCTTTGAAATGGTGAAACTTATAGAAAATGCCAAATTATTAAGGTAACTGTAAGCCCACAGCACAAGATGTCACAAACAAATGATGGTGTCCTACTGGACACCCAGCTAGCTCCTCATCTGAGAGGACAACTAAGTGAAGCTGAACCATTTCAAATACAGAAACAAATACCAAACTTCAGAGGGAAATGACAATTCAAAATGTCCACACATTTGGTTATTCAACTAAGTCATAATAATCTTGGGGTTTTAAAAGCCAAAGAGCATACTAATAGCATGAGCCATAATCTCCCTGGATATGGATTGGTCACAGAGTGAGGAACAATCTCCATTCTAAAAAGTATATTCCCAAGGAACCCCAATGTTCCTTCAATGTGTTTGAGACGTGAAAGTGAGCCCTTGACTTCAAGATATGAGTTCTCATTTCATATATTGTCTGTGATGACTATACACTTCTGTCATGGGTCTTCCTTCCTTCCTTCCTTCCTTCCTTCCTTCCTTCCTTCCTTCCTTTCCCTTTCTTCCTTCCTTCCTTCCTTCCTTCCTTCCTTCCTTCCTTCCTTTCTTCTTTTGGTTCTTTTTCGAAGGGATTTGACACTACCATTTTCCAAAATATCTTGTCTTGCATTGGTGTGTGTGTGTGTGTGTGTGTGTGTGTGTGTGTGTGTGTGTGAGAGAGAGAGAGAGAGAGAGAGAGAGAGAGAGAGAGAGAGAGAGAGAGAGCCCAGGCTGCCTGAAGGCTGGGATTACAGTTACCTTGCCCAGCTCTTCCAATCTTTTTTCTTCTTTTCTTTTCTTCCTCTCTTTCTTTCTTCCTCTCTTTCTTTCTTTCTCTCTCTCTCTCTCTCTCTCTCTCTTTCTCTCTCTCTCTCTTTCTTTCTTTCTTTCTTTTTTTTTATTTGAGAGAAGGTTTTTCTGGGTAGTCCTGGTTGTCCTGGAACTCACTTTGTAGACCAGGTTGGCCAGGACGATTTCAGACTCACAGAGATCTCCCTGCCTCTGCATCCTAAGTGCTGGGATTAAAGGAATACACCACCACTTCCAGGCTAATCTTTCACTTCTTAAAGCATGTCTCCTGTAGTCACTCATGCACCCAGCAACTCAGTGATTAGCAGAACTTCTCAATAGGAGAGAATCTGGAGGTTTCCCCCAAGTAGATAACTCTAAGTTAAAGAACTAGGTGATGGGCAGAGACCCATCCACTGCAGGTTACCAAGGACTCCTGGCACACAAACCATCAAACCATGCACTTGCCCACATACCACACATCAGACACCACACACACACACCACACAAACCACATACACATATCACACACACACATCACAAACACACATACACACATACACACATACCACAAACACATACACACTACACACACACACACCCACCACACAAACAAAACACATACACACACCACACACAATACATCACAAACACACATACACACACACACCACAAGCACACACACACACCACACAAACAAACCACACACACACATCACAAACACACACACATACACACCACAAACACACACACACATACACACACACCACAAACACATACACACATACACACACACCACAAACACACACACATACTCACATACACACATATCACAAACACACACACACAAATACACACACACACCACAAACATACACACATACACACACACACCACAAACATACACACATACACACACACACCACAAACACACACACATACTCACATACACACATATCACAAACACACACACACAAATACACACACACACATACACACATACACACACACACACACACACATACACACACATCACAGAGCACTGTCCAGCCACAATCCTCAAGGGAAAATTCACTCATTACAGCATCTACTCATGCTGTCTTCAAATAATACTTCGAGAAGGTCATCCTTGCATTCAGGACTGAAAGGTGTATGAAAATCACAGAAATGTTACAGGATATAGCAGAAGTTGAATACTAGGAAACTTAAAAAAATGTGATTTAGCCAATAAATCTTTTGGAGGACCAACTAAGAATCTATCCTAGTCAGTCCAGCAGAAAATGGTTGTTGTACTATAAAATACAGGCTGTTGCTCTCTAAAAGCCTCCTTCCCATGGTTAGGACAAAGATGAAGAGCAGCCACAGCCCAGTCTGAATGGAGGCTATTGGGTTCCAAAGCAATTACTTTAAATACACAAGCCCAAATACCATATTGCTATATTGCACTGACAACTGTACCTTCACACTTTGCTCCTTCTCCCTAACCTCAGGTTTAGGTATAGGCACGTGTACCCTGCCTGGGGTGGGCCTTCTCTGTTCCCCTTTCCACACCAGCATATGCTGGGTTTAACTGAAGACCTGACCTCTTACTGGGAGATCTGTCATCTATGGGGACTGGATCCGAGCTTTCTAGAGCTTCTGGGTAAAACTCCACTGGGGCTTCTCGACATCCATCTACTGAAACACTGAGACCCCTTTGAGTTCTGGCATGCTAAGCAGCATCACTCAGGCTAAGCCCTCTCTGCCTTGCAGGAAGCTGCTCTCGTTGGCCAGCTTTATTACTACTCAACAGAGACAACCGAAAGCAACTTTACCCTTTCTCTAAAGAGAATAAATGAATGCTATACTAAACTAGACCTTCACACACAGAGACTTTCATCCCTGCCTCAAGACTGAACAAACGAAGCCT